CCCTATGGAATTCCGGGGCATCTTAAGGGCGAAAATAGTTGCTGCCTACCTCGCGCTAGCCACTTTGAGCCATGCTGACTTGCCTCTCCACCTGGGCCCTGCAGGGCTTTATGTCTACTTTGTTATGTGAAAAGCTTTCCGGTTCACATTCTTTGCATTCTTTGTGTTTAAAATTGGGGGTAAGTCTTGCTTTCTGGACCTTTGCTTATTGGAACTTGTGAAGAGTTCCCCATGCCATCTGCGCATCTAGTAGTATGCGCAGATGAAGGCGCTTAGGCTTATGCTCACTTGGGTGAATCAAATGGATGAAAGTTGCTCGGGATTATATGATCTTGCTAGTTTCGCCTGGGCATACATTAACCAGGTTTGGGCGTGGGTTAGCCACCAGGTCTGATGCCACAAACGATAACACAGACGGGCATACTTTACAAGACGCTTATAAAATGAAAAATGTCTATTCAACCTGAAGGTGTGGATGCGAGTATTGCACACAGTAGTACCCGGGAATGCTGGCTCGATTTAGCTTCCGGCTATAACGGCACCGAATCGAAGAAAAATAGTTTGAACTTCGGAGAATGACGTCTGTCTTGCTGCAGCAGGTCGATCCTTTATAAGGGCGTGGACCACGTTGTCGGTGTCCAGAGTAGAGGTCCTCTTGTACATAGTCAACTATCATGTTCGATGTGTACCACAATTTACAACATACATAGTAAAGGGGATCTGTTTTTACTACTCCATAGAGAAAAAGCAAACCGTATCACACAGCAAGCCAATACTCGAGAGTTTTCTCTCGGTCTCAATATCCAGAAACAAAGTAATGATGAAGCAAAGAATCCATCCAGACCTCATATCAAACGGGTTATTTGGTCGCCAGAAAGCTTGGTAGAGCAAAATATGTACTATGAAGCTCCGAACGGGAGGGGATCAACTTTCTAGTACCTGCAAAGTACAGCAAAGTTTAACATAATTTGTTGGTAGTATATCATATGCTAGGGCCCACTTTTGACGTGATCCATGATATTCAGGGGGTTGGGGCTACCCCTGAGCTGCACTGCCTGGCCTCGAATGGCTGTATGCTATACTTTATGGGATGCCTTTTTCCGAGAAAAGGTTCCGGTATACGAGTACAATTATTCTCATGTACCGAAGATGGGTGTGATAACCTCGCTGGGGGATTGTCGGTGCCTGCTCTGCCGTCTGATCGCCCGTGCAAATTTACGGATGTGATACATATCGATGGTTATTGTCCCGAGTTGATAGTAGGATAACAATGAAATTTTACTGAATTGTACAATATATATGACATAAGATGTTGAGCCACTGTACAATGGTCAACCATAGCATTGACAGATTCAAGAATATCTAAGGTTATATATTGAAATGTCGTCTGCGCATTCTGAGCCCTTTTGCACCTGTTGGTGTGGTCTACCTACAATAAATCTTGAGAAAGGGAAGAATGTATCTTAAAAAAAAAACATCTAAATCAACTACCAAAAAAGACATGATAAGGCCGTATAAGAGACCGACTATTTTTATCATCAATCATGTGAAATGCGACTTGTATAGTAAGACATTGGGCCGAAATGTTCCAGAAGTATGGGGTACCTACTCCATATGTTGTACACGAACTCTTTAGGGCAATCCAACCATGCCATGGTTTGAGACTAGGATTGCAGTTTATAATTCTTATGTTGTATTCCGGGATGTATTTCTGTTCAAATGCTACGATTACAAGCCTTAGCCAAGGATGCCCAGAATTTCATTCTAAACTACGTCATAGCATTGATCGCCCTCGGCAACGGACAAGCTTTCGCATTTTGAATATCTTGTCTTTTATACTCCGTACAATATTGTATGTTGTATGTTGTATGTTGTACAGAGTATATACGTACACTTTGTGACCTGTGTCGGAATTATTTACCAGATGCTTTCATATATTAATATGAGAAAATTAATATGAGATTCCACACTCTCCAGTCAGGGTCCCCCAGGGTCTTTAGTGCATCATCAGCCGTCCGCGGGCTTACTAGCGCACGCCCTTGTTTCAGGGGCAGTGGCAAATTAAGCAAAGGACTCAACGGGAAAGGCTTGAAAGAAGGGAATAGTGGAGGGATAGTGGAGGAACAGTGGAGGGACAGTGCAGGGACAGTGGAGAGAAGTGGAAATGGTGGAGTACAAGGGCCAATGACCGGGAATATCAACTTCTTCCACTTTATTGCTGTTCATATGGATTGCCAATCACATCTTTCACTTGATTTACTGAAAACAAATATAGAAAAAAAGGAAATAGAGAAAAAGAATAACCAATCTACGATGATAGCACAATGATATACCCACATGAATGCGCGTACATACCCCCTTGGGTCCTCCACTTCCCCCTTCCAGGGTCTCTTTTCTTCTCCTCTTTTCCTGCGTGGATTTCCTCTTTCTTTCTTTTATTTACATTCGCTATCACTATAGACGGTGTGTACCCGTCAGACATTCTTTAGGATTTCAATTTCCTTGCAAAATGAAGGCCTCTATCATCGCTGGTCTCTCCCTCCTGGGAGCGGCCATGGCTGCCGATATTCCCTCTATTGAGATTAAGGGCAAGAAGTTCTTCTACTCCAACAACGGCACCGAGTTCTTCATTCGTGGTGTCGCCTACCAGCCCAACTTCACTGGTCGCAACGGTGCTTCTGGCACGGATTCATACACTGACCCGCTGGCCATCGACACCTGCAAGCGTGATATTCCTTACCTGACCCAATTGCGCACCAATGTTGTCCGTACCTATGCTGTCGACCCCAGCAAGAACCACGACGAGTGTATGAATGCCCTCGCCGATGCCGGTATCTACCTGATCACCGATCTGTCCTCGCCCAGCGAATCTATTGTCTCCGACGACCCTACCTGGAACGCGGATCTCTTCACTCGCTACTCCAAGGTCGTCGATGCCTTCGCCAAGTACCCCAACGTCATCGGCTTCTTCGCCGGAAACGAAGTCGCCAACAAGGTCAACAACACCGACTCCATGGCATACGTCAAGGCCGCCGTCCGCGACATGAAGTCCTACATTAAGCAAAAGAAGTACCGCAGTTCTCTCGCTGTCGGCTACGCCACCGATGACGATGCCACTGTCCGCGAAGGCGTCTCTAACTACCTCATCTGCGACGAGGCCGCCGACTCCATCGACTTCTTCGGCTACAATATCTATGAGTGGTGCGGCGACGCCACCTTCAAGAGCTCCGGCTACGAGGAGCGTACCAAGGAATTTGCAGACTACCCCGTTCCCGCCTTCTTCTCTGAGTACGGCTGCAACGAAGTCCGCCCCCGCGAGTTCACCGACGTCCCCGTCCTGTACAGTGACAAGATGACCGACGTCTGGTCCGGCGGTATCGTTTACATGTACTACGAAGAAGCCAACAAATACGGTCTCGTCTCCGTCGACGGCAACGACGTCAAAACCCTCCCAGACTTCACCAACCTCTCCAAGCAAATGGCCAAGGCAACCCCGACCGGCGTGGACTCAGCCAAGTACTCCGTCTCCACCACAGTCGGCCGCAGCTGTCCCACCATCGGCGCGGACTGGAACGCCGCCAGCAAGCTGCCCCCTTCTCCTAATGCAGACCTCTGCGAGTGCATGTACAACTCCCTCGAGTGTGTCCCCAACTCCGATATCACCGACAAGCAAGTCGGAACCACTTTCGGCTACCTCGGCGGCGAAAAGGGTGTCATGGACGGAGTCAAGAGCAATGCTACTACTGGCGTCTACGGCGCCTACTCCATGTGCTCGGCTAAGCAGCGTCTGGCCTGGGCTATGAACGTTTACTACCAGCAGAACAAGGCCAAGGCTGGTAGCGACGCTTGTGGCTTCAACGGTGTCGCTAAGACTAAGAAGTCTACTTCTGCCTCTGGCTCCTGCGCTACTCAGATGAGTGCCGCTGGCTCGGCTGGTACTGGTGCTGTCAGTGGTGGTCTTGCTGCTAGCACCGGTGCTGCTGCTTCTGGCACTGCTTCTGGTGGTGGTGCTACCTCGTCTGGTATTGCTGCTGGCACTGTTCCCCAGGCCGTCCACATTGGTGCTTGGCAGGCTGGTGCCTATGCGGTCGCTGCTGTTGCCTCTGGTGTCTTCATGATCATGCTGTAAACCTGAGAGACGTGGTTGCATATTCATGATTTAGACTTGTCTTTTGTTTTACTAGCTGTCTTACATAGCCCCCATCCAAGTTGGATTTTGTGGGGTTGGCTATTTTTGTAACATTGTTTATACATATTTCTATTTTAAACTACTAGCGGGTATTCTATTACCCCGCATATTACTTCAGAATCCACTGCTGATATTTGATTTAAATAATTCTCCCTTTTCTAGCTTGCATTATTAATTGGTAGTTCCAGGTATGTACAACATTTGGCTCTTCAGAATGTAATAGCGATAGCTGTGGACTCCTTGATTGGCTATGTATTTCGTGTTGTCATTGAGCGATCTTGATAGGCTATGGAGCATGACTATTGGCTCAAGCATGTCCAGGTGACATTCTCCATTTTTCCTACGCCCTCACTTTGCTTTTTTTGAAGTGCTCATCCCTTTTTTCGTAAAATTGAGCACGACTCATCAGGAGAAGGTGACCCCCGGGACCCCAGTCTGTCTACTCCGTACTCCACTTACAATGAAGGCCTGGAAAGTGGCTCCCGAGGTATATCAGAATGTAATAATTAAGATTTGGTCTAATCATCATAGACCACCATGGCTTTTTATCCCCGCCTACAAAATTTGCAGCTTGTTTCTCCCAAATAGACCCAGAAAACAACTCGCTTCAACCAGATCCGACAGGCCTCTCCAAAGAGCGAGGTCCATTCCAATATACAAGTACATACATATATAGTTAGGTAAATTTTATCTACCGTCTATCGCTATGTCGTAGTTTCTCCTAGGTATATTCACACCTGAGGACGCATGCAAAGAAATCGTACAACGCTCGCAGACACAAATGTAACTTTTTCGCCAAAACCAACCGCAATTAGATGGCGTCCTCAGGGAAGTACTCTTTGAGTGTTTCCAAAACGCCCTTTTCGGCGATGTCTTTCATGGCCTTCTCCATCTCATCGGTGAATCGTTTATATCCACGCAAGTCGTCACCGAAGAGGCTCTTGATTTGGAGCAGCCCGTGGGGGCCCTTGTCGTCTCCAGCTGCAGCCAGGAGCTCGTCAAGCATGGGATCAATGACCTTGAATGTTTTTCCGTGGTCATCGACGCCTTTGATATACAGGAACCAAGAGGCCGCGACGAAACACAGGCGGCGGAAAGGATATTCACGCTGCTCCTTCTTACTCTCCATAATCGCCTCGGCAATCGACGGCATGATGAACTGTGGGATCTTGCCGGAGGCATTGAGGCAGACGCGGGGCAACTGATCCATGATTGTTGAGTTGGAGAAGCGCTTCATGAGCGTTTTGCAATACTCATCAATGTCGACACCTGGAATTTCCGGCAAGAGGGGCTTCACCTCCATTTGCATCATCTCCCACACCAACTTGCGCAACTGTGGGTTCTGCATGACTTCGTGAACGTATTCGAAGCCTGCCAGTTGACCTGGGTAGCCGATGGCCGAGTGGCTACCGTTGAGCAGACGGAGCTTGTGCTTCTCGAACTGTTCGACGTCGTGGACATTCTTGACAACTTGGACACCAACCTTCTCGAATGCTGGGCGGTCGCCAACAAACTCGTCCTCGATAACCCATTGCATAAAGGGCTCTGTGACGACGGGCCATGCGTCCTGAATTCCGAAGTCCTCGGCTAGTGCCTTTTTGTCCTGCTCTGATGTCTGTGGTGTGATGCGGTCGACCATGGCGTTGGGGAAGGCACCTTTCTCGGCAATCCAATCTGCGATCTGAGGGTTGCGTTTGCGCGCAAATGACACTAACATGTTGCGTGTTATGGAGCCGTTCTTCTGCATGTTATCGCATGACATGACAGTAAAGGGGTCTTGTCTTTGCTTGTAGCGTTCTGCCAGGGCAGCGTAGAGGAAACCGAAGGTTGTGCGCGGTTTTTCTTCGTTCTCTGTTTTGAGGTCATTCACGATATCGGGGTGATCGCTTATCAGCTCGTGTGTGTTTTCGTTGTAGTAGTAGCCGCTTTCGGTGATGGTGAGCGACACAATACGGGTATCAGGGTGGGCCATCTTGTCGATGACGGCTTTTTGGTTGTCAGGGGCAAAGAGGTAGGAATTGATGCATCCAACAACATGGGCAAAGCTTCCTTTGTCCGAGCGCTCCATGACGGTGTAGAGGTGGTCCTGCTGTCTCAGGACATCACGCATGGTAGCATCGAAAGGCTGCAAGCCAACGCCGCAAATTGCGTAGTCAGTTGAGCCATGCTTCTCCATAAGCTGGTCGATGTAGACAGCTAGATGAGCTCTGTGGAAGCCGCCAACACCAACGTGGACGATTCCCTCCTTAATCGGGCGACGGAGGAAACGGTGGCTTGGGATTTGGATCCGCCCCTTGCCTGCCTTTCCAATTAGTTCCAGGTTCTTGCTGTTGAGCCTTAGGGGTGCCATTGTGGTCAAAGAGATTGAAAGAAGAGTGAGCTTGAAAAAAAAAAAAGATGAAAGGTTGGCGGCTGAATCAAGCTACATACGAGGGTCACCGCTGGTTTTGACCGCTGATCCTGGAAAATGTCCTGGGCGAATATTACATCATGTGGACAAAACCGCCACCCCTGAAGGTGTCCACCTTCCTGCGACTGCAAAGAGCCATATGGAATAATCCTTTGGCATCTGATTAGTTTGTTTTTGGCAGTGGACCAGTCTGTTCCCAGCTTTGGGAAAGTTGTGACCGTCTAATAATAAAAACACCTTGCGTCAGAGCTGTCCGCTTTCGACCTCGGGGGCCGAGAACGTTCTTCTGCCGACGCACCGGCCCCTTTCGGGAATTTTGTTTAGCTCTCGGGATTCTTTTAAAAGGTCAAGACAAGACATGGTATGGGGTTTCCCTGTACGGAGTATAGAAAAAATAAATAAAAACTCTGGCAGACTGAAAAGTACAGTTGAATATGTTGATATTGTTTGTGAGATCATAGCTGAAATGGGAAAGCCCCACCCGAGGGAATCCGGTCTGGAGTTGCCACTTTTGAATAATTTGGAATGAAGGGATAACATATAAGACATTATCAGCCACCTCCTTTCATCAATTGGTAAGATGGCCGAGTTGGTCTAAGGCGCCAGGTTAAGGTATACCTTGACTCAACAACTAGCAATAGTTTCCTGGTCTCGCAAGAGGCGTGGGTTCAAATCCCACTCTTATCATGTCTTTTTGCTTTTTTTTCCTCCTTACTATTATAGGCGGCTATCTTCGTTGAAATATATTCAAATCGCTATTCCAATTCACCATACATGGCCCCAACTCAAAATCATATATGCGGGATGCTAGACAACCAATCCGGGGTAATGTAAGAATCAGCCGGAAGGGCCCTCAACGACGAGAGCATAAGCGCAAAGGTCCCAAAACGTGCTATAAAGTACAGATACAAAGATCCATCGGCAAGCACAATTTCAAGCACTGTGACAGGAGAATTCGGATCCCCCAGGCTCCTCATGCACGAAGGGAGCAGTTTCTTTCCCGCAAGCCACACGGCGATGAGAGGCCCTTGAGCAACGACCAGTGGGATGAAGGACGATGAAATTGCAATCAATGTGAAAACCCGCCAAGCTATCTTTTCAGCTTCTGTGGGGAAGATAAAATTCCATCTATGAATTTTGATTATCAGCGCGATCCTGACCCGTGAGAGAAAATATACACTACCTACCCAGCAACATGGATCCCACTAAAAGAAATAGCAATGAAAGTGGCAAAGACAGCAGTTAAAGCCTTTCTACCATGAGATAATTGGATTGCACTATCTTCACCAGCAGATGGAAACCGCGCTGGTCCATCGGCAAAGAAAAAAGTGAAACGCCCAGAGCTATCCTTTAGGGCGGGCGGAGGAGTACTCTCAGAAGGAAGACCTCGCAGATGAACCCAACCCTGTGGACTTGCATCCATAATCCTCTGGACTTCCTCTGGGATATCGTCACGACTATATCTTAAGGCAATGTTGATTGTGGTAGCCATGTCTTTAGGCTTATTCCACCAGAAGCCATAAAGACAGATCCCGCAGGCGACATACGCGACCGTCCCAAGCTCAAGCGGCGATATGGACAGCGAATAAGCCGCTCGGGTCACGATATTGCACATCGCCCAGAGGCTCTGTAAAACCGTAAACACTATCCCCAGGGCATCAACCTTCGCTCGATCCTGGATATCTTCGTCACGGAAATCGGAGCATGTAATCATCCCCGCTCGGATAAAAACCAGGATATTCCTCGGTGTGACGGTATACAGCCAGTGGTCCTGCGTCTGTAAGGCCAGACCGCCCATCTTGACACAATACCCCTGAGGGATGCTCCAAGAGTGCACCAGCTGTCCTTGGGCCTCACCCTTTGGCTCATCCACCAAAGCTTGGGCAGAATTACATGAAGCAGCTGTACTCCTTGCTGCAAACATTTCCACTACTGTGCCCCAAGCTATCACCTCGGGGCAGAGCACGGTCAGCAGCCATAGGAAGATTTTGACGGCATTGCGCTGGGATGCACTCCAGCTGCGGGGTGGGACGTCAACACGGAGAACAGTCCACGTGCAGGCGAGGATTGTAGAAAAGCATGTCCACACTATCGTCCATGTTGATCGGGAGTTGTCATCGAATTGCCAGCCTTCGAGAGTAGTGTTTGTGACCGCCTGCGAAGGCTGCGCGAGCAGGCAAATTCTGATATAACATTGTAGGTTTGCAACTCACCTATAACCCGTCGCTTTCCATATAGTCTCCAAATTGATTTTGTAGGATACGGAAGAACATCACACTCGCATCATTTAATGACATTACTAATATCCATACAATGTCTTTTATAACCATTGTCCTTTTTGACTCTTACTCTGAGTGGTAAGTTTGAACTCTTTCATTTTTTTTTGGTATCTCTCTAACTTGCTTTTTAAAGGCGATGCCAATTTCCGCCGGCAAGGAGATGGGGGAAGAGATAGACGGGGGGGCTGGTTTGACCGGAGGAGCAGAATAGTAGCAAAGCTGACGACCGCCGTAAACATTATCTGGATACTTGTGGTATTCCCCCCCCCCCCCCCCCCCC